TTTTTGCTAACCCCTTCCCATGGTGTACCTCTGGATACACGACAAACCGGCCGGCACCGGCGAGGATACGCACGGCGCGTGTAGGCATACGGTGCACTTTGTCTTCCGGAAGAGTGCGGGAAGCTAGTATACAGAGGACGTAGAACTGGGGAGAGTGGGGGGGGAAGGGAAAGAGTCAGACGGATATATAGGGAAGCAGTGTTTAATCAGGTTCGACTAGTTAGTTGGCAGGTGCGACGTACTCTCAAGTACCGTCCGCGCGTCCGTGCAGCGTCGCTTGAGAAGAGGAGTCCCGGGAAGCGCGAGGGAGAAAAAGAGAGGAGGCGGAGACACTGGTCTAGAGACGGCGCAAGAAATCAAAGCCACCAAAGGAGAGCCAGACCTCTGCGCTGGACTCTCCTCTCCTCTTCCTCTTACTCTCTTCATGTGTCCCTTGCGAGGAAAGACCCGATGCTCCTGATGCCCGTATAAAATATCCTGCAGTACTTCATTGCTTGTCCTGCATCGGGATAATTTTGTCATTTGCTTACAGGGTACTCTATATCTATGACCTAAAATATAAAATTTAACGTTATGATGAATTATTTTTCGAGACAACTCTTTTCAAGATGATAAAGTAATCCTTCAAAACGAAAAGTAAGGTGAAATAATTCAGCAAGTACAACACGTACAGATATAATTTTTCTATTTAGATACATCGAATAGCAACGAACTTTTATGGTACAAAAGTTACGCGGTTGGGTATCAAACGAGGACTGTCGTTCTAAAAATCGTAATCTATTGGTCCCCAGAGTTAACTCGTGTGTGTACAAGCACAAACAGAACAGACGCAAGCGTGCACATTCATAGATATCCAGTTACACTGGGAGCTGGAAAAACAAAAGTCCTCTCGGGCACACGGTTAAAAAAATCCATTGTCGAGCTAACAAGTGTTGCAAGCACGCACTTCCGTAACACGAGCCAAGCATACACATACATACAGATATGTAGATGTACCGGTAGTTTTACCCCCAGCCTATAAATCCTAAAGTTGAGGGTAAAACAAATTTTCCCCTCAAAACGACGGTCCGATTTGCCCGCGGCATCTTTCGTCTTGCACATTTACATACGAAGAGTTCCAGTATGAGGTACCGACGCACGCGATATCAGCCCTCTTGACTTGTATGTTTTTTAAAATATATACGTTATTTCTTGACTTCCAACACAAAGTGTTTTGTCTCGTCATGCAACATATGGGATGTTTGAAAACGCACGCGACAAAAGAGAGAGAGAGAGAGAGAGAGAAAGAGACAAAATGCCAAAAGAGAGAACGCAGAGAGCAAGAAAGAGAGTCCTGCAGACTGCGGGCTCAGCAGGATTTATTGGGAATTATTTCGCGATGTCTGTTACCCAAGAGGAGGGGGAGCGAGGAGAGCCGTATAAGTAATCGATACCCTTTTACAGTCAAGCGTAGCGTACGCAGGCAGAAAAAAGCTTACATCTCGCTCCTGTTGCTGATGCTTCGCTCGGACTTTTTCCTTCCCCCTTAACCCGAGCACACAAACTCCGATAAATTTATTTGGGAAAGGAAATTCATAGAGACTCCATTGGGTGTCGAGCGATTTGAAAGAAGTGAAAAAAGAAACATAAGCGTTGAAAGGGCACAGCTGCGACACCAATTTATGGAGACTATTTGCTCCTTGTAATATGATAATGACTCGGACGACCTGGTTGTAAAAGGCCCAACGGCGCATATAGCGTCGATTTATTAGACGCATGAATTAACTACAGCCAATTGCCTATCGGAAACTGTGTATTTACTGTGTCTGCATGTGAATAGTATGCATGTTTACCGGATATGAAGTTCACCGTTTCTTTTTATTTTAATCGAAAGGAAAAATCACAAAGTTCTTGATAAAAAAAATATGTGTGTAATAAATATCAGCCCAACTTTACGTGTATCCTTGCTTGGATAAGTATACTGTTGGTCGACTCTAGTGCTCTCATTCATTTTGCCTATCTGATTGGAGAGCAAAAAATTAAAAAGTTTTCACCGATTTGAATTGCTATCATCAGGTGTCATTAAGAACACGGATTGCGACGTGTCTCAAAAATCTTTATTCCCATTGTCATCAGATTTTTTTTCTATTTTCTCATCCAGAAAATATGGTGTGCACCAGTCTCGACGAAATTTAAGCAAAGCACGTGGTGATCATATAAAAACGTAAACATCCCCCTCAGATATAAAGTCACGTGGCGGTGACAAATCAACAATACAGATGAAATCGGTTTGTCATCGATAACGATTTTCTATTTCCTCTTCTCTTTCTCTCAACTCTTAACCCTCACCTTTCTTTAAACATTCAATATACAGTTTTGAACTCCTATATGATTGTACAAGTGTGCATGCACGTGTGATCTATGGCTCGTGCTCGTGCATTTTTGCGCGTCCATATCGAGCACACAAACTCACGTGCGCTTGTATAGAGAGAAAAAGAAAGAGAGAGAGAGAAAGACACGAGTGCGGAATGCCACCTATGTCTTGTTAGCCCGTGGAGCGACGATGCTGAGCTCCTAATGCTCCTGTATGCTGTTGTTGCTGCTCACATCGCTAATGAATTCCCGGTATACAAGTGCACGCGTATACGCGCACTGCTAAGTGTATCGGACTAGAAGTGCGTGTGCTTGTGTGTCATGAAATTGTTGCTTTAATAAACTAAAAAATCTCGCGCCATTTCGTCTTTAACAAACGTAGTGTAGACGTGATTAGTTTTGAGATTTTTTTTCATAATTTTTTGCAGCGTAAGTTTTTTTTCCAAAGTGAATCAACTCCAGATCGTAAAAAAGATTGGAGAAAGTGGAAAAATAATGTTTTAGCACACAACAACGTGAAATAGTAATTCTGCAACATTGTATCAGGTACATAAATTGTAATTAACAAACTAGATAAATTGGGATGCGTGTGGAACATGAGTATCAATACAATTTAGTACCTCATTCGTAAAGTGTTTTTGGAGTTTTAAAATATTACAGAAGTTGATCAAGCAATACAGTAACTTTATAGGTATCCGAAAAGCCTCTACATGTTGAAAAGTATTAAATTGTTTTTAAACTGATTTTTAAATGGCTTTTTATCATCTTTATATCATGTACACTTGATGCACACCACACATGTAGATTTTTCCCGCTACTACTGTCGCATGTACCTTGTACATGTGTTTGCTCGCCTCTTTGAACGTTATGAGCTTCGACTGCGAGTATAGGGTATGCTCACGTGCGAGTACGCAATGAAATTGCATTAGCATTGTTCAGTTTGAGTTTGAAGTCCTTTATTTGCTTGCCATCAAGATTCAATGGATCCGCTGGAGTGCGGTACTCCTTCCTCCCTTTTTTTTGTCTCTGCAAGAGAAAATATACACTATAAAAGATTTTCCGTTGAAAATGGAGTTTAATGCTCAGCTTTTAGTTGTTAATACTGAGACAGACGAAATAATTTATGTTATGGTTATGTTAATTAGTAAAAAAGAGAAACATAGCAATTCTTCTGAACAATTTCACATTTGTATTAAAGTCGACCATGCTATCATTTTAAGTTTTATTTCAGTTAAGCTAACAAAAATTATTAGCTCTATATTCTAAAACTTCTAAAATACTGAGCCAATCTTGAGCCAATTGCTAGACTACTTCCATAAACTTTCAAATATACAGAATCTTACTGTCAGAAATACTTGTTACATATACATTCCTTGTTACGTAAGTCAAAAAACTTAGTGACAAAATTAATTCACTTTATTATTTTAAAGGAGTTGTATATTCTATTACGTTGTTCTTACATATGGTGCAATATAAGCAGTTGTTTACGAAAGAAACTTTTGGTTGTTGGAAGATTTCTCGTGAAGAAAAGTGTATCTTGGTAATGAAATTGTACTGTCAACGTAGGTACATTTAACAAAGAAATGACACGGAAGTGCAACTCTATTATACGCACGCAAAAAAAAGCCACCAGTGGGTTTACTTTTTTCATCTCTTGTACGAACGACTCCTTATTTTTTATCACCACGCGTAATTTTACTTCCTTCCATCGAATCCCCTCCTTGTGTTATATTCTATAATGGGGACGTATATACGTCAGTACGACTCGATCGGAAGTTCATAGCATTTTTCCGTCTGCTTCGTTTGCTTTTTTCTCTCCTTTTTTTTATCACCAGAGAAGCCTGTCTGCGTCTGTGCTCCGGCAGCTTTTACTCCCCCGCGAGGCTATTACCTTTTCCTCCACGGAGTTATAAGAAATTTTATTCAAGCTGTAAAAAGCTCTACATTTTTACAACATGCATCCTCTTTTTACGTATGAAAAATTTTTATAGCCTTCCAGTTACTTAAGAATGACATCATGGAGACTTGTAGTATCTTTTAGTAAATCTAATAAAAATCGTACGTAGATGTTTGAGTTTGGCGTTGGTCTGTTATGAATAATCTCTTCTCGTTGATCCTTTTAATTTAACAAAAATTTTTATTATGGAGCAGTCCTTTTTATCCTCTATTATGTTTTATTTTTCACAATCATACGGTAAAGCATTAAAATTCCTTATTTTATATTACTATAAATTCTATTTTAATATTTTATATTGTTATATTATAAATTTAGTGTTCTTATACAGTACAGTAAAACTCATTTCATGGAGATATACGTTTATTATTAAAATTCATCGATTTTATTCTTAAGACTGAAAAAAATATTTCTAATAAAATTTCTTCAACACACATTTCAGTTATCTTATAACAAACTTTTTTACTTTATTTTATTAAAGAAGCATTATTTTTTAAGTAAAACTGGAGCATTTAGAAACAAGTTTAGATCGCACATCTATGTACTCAATTCATTTTGTTGGGATTTTACAATAAATATATTGCTTATGACTTACTTAAGGAATCCAAATGCTGAAACATAAAATTTAATACTCACAATTAAAATAAAATCTTTTGTACGAAAAAATATGTATACCTACGTTTAATAAAATGATTCATGTCTGCAACTGATGCATATCTCGACCCATTTTGTGTTTTATAATTAGGCACTTCAGCTTGTGAGCAAAAACTATAACAAGAATCTATAAAGAATTTCGTTATTTAATTTTTACCATTTGCATATAATTTATCTGTAATAAATAACAAATATAATGGATACATACCTGAATACAAATAATTATTGTGGCTGCAAGAATTATCCAAATTCTATAGTTAACCATAAAGCCAACCAATTTTTCCAGACAACCTTGTTTATAAAAAACATAATAAGTTTTACAGTTTTTTGAAATGCTGTAGTATGACTTTATATTGTCATGATTAATGTATGATGTCACCCAGTCATCTACTCCATCCCACCCACAGCATTGCAACTGTAAATTTGTAAAATAAATATAAAAAAGAAACAATTTCAGTTTTAATGAAATACAAACAAAAAAGTATTGTATCAATGCACTTTGTAGCCAAAAACTGAAATTAGTAATGAGATTCTAAATGGCACAACGGAATGATAGATAAATATTTACTTACTCTGCTCTCTAAGAAATCCATGGTCGCACGGGCCTTGCGACTCTTAAAGGACTGATTCATAGTGAAAAGAAACTTTTCTTTCATCGACTTAACAATATTGTCTTTCATAGCGTAGGCAGCTACTATAAGTGCAAGTTGAAGCATAAGTACAGTTGATAATAAAAGTGAAAACTAAAAATAAGGATATGACACATATATTAAAAATGCTTTACTGTATTCAAAGACGTTTTACAGAAATCTTATTAATTATCAATTAAGTACTTACAGTTTGAATCATACAAGTGCTCTTTTGAAGTACACCATAACAGCCAAAAATGGCTATGACTATTACTATGGTTCCTACAGTGATGGAAAGAGTAGTCAATGAGCAACCACTCAAGTCTGAGAAGTAAGAGAATTCATCGCTGTTCATGACTATACCTACTGCAACAATCATTGTGCCAGATAACTGCAAAAGTTTTAATTGATAGTAATTCATACGTATATTAAACATATGGGCAAAAGATATTTTGCAAATTTTTCTAAGTTTAATTTTTGAACTACAATTTAATTGACTACCTATTATTTACAATTATGGGATTTTTGGAGTTGTGGATAATAAATTCTATACTTTCTAATCTCATGTCACTTCACTTGCCTTCATTGCCTTTTTTTCTACAATTTCATAATTGTTGAATAACTTTAAATCATATTTTTATAGCTCATGCTTGCTGAAACTTTCTTAAAACTATGGAGATACTAAAATAACTTCAAACATGACTGCCCCTGTGTACTATACCTTAATATGAATTGATCAGAGAAAAAAAGTGTAGTGCCCCTAAAACTGTGATTTAGAACGAAAAAAATGCTACAGATAAAACAAGCAACTAAATTTAGATAAAAAATGTGCAAGGTACTGCTACTACACTTAGCTTGTATTTCATGAATATTTTCGTAGTCTTAGTATTCTATCAGTATCTAGTATCGTGGACTGTAGTAAGATGAAACTCTCTATCTAATTTTAACGTTTTTCAGTCTAAATGGTACCTACATTTATACAAAATTAAGCTGTAGAGTACGTTGTTAAAATATAATTTTTTAGTAGCATTCATATTAAGCATATAAAAACCAAAATCATACTTAGTTTTATATATTCAAGCTTAACAAAATTGGGATTAAGTTATTTCACACTCCAATTTGCCAGTTTTTAACTGATACTAACGATATGGTTATGTACGGTTACATTAAAAGAAATTCCCGTTTACTCATTACATAAGTATATTTTGCAACAATAATAATAAAATACTTGAATACCAACCAGAAAAACACAGTTTACAACATAGAAAAAGAACTTCACCCACTTCATATTAAAACAAAGGAATGTAGATGACGCTTCCATTTTATCTTTTTTACTTTTTTAAAGTAAGTCTTCGTAAAAAAACTTTTAAAAAGAAAAGAAAAAAAAACTGAGTACTTGAAACAAAAACACACGGAGCAAAAAACGTATAATGTTAATAAAACTGTAACAGATTCAGTTCGAAAAAGGCAATACTGCCAGAAAAACTAAACTCCTACGGTGCTGCTCGCTGCTACGTATTAACCGACCCTCCTCTAGTGAAACGATAGTCTTACTATCTTAACGACTTTACCTTACTTACACTATTCATATTTTCTGAGAAGTCTCAGTATAAACTCTTATTAGTTCACTGTTTTTACTCGTGATTCTTGGCAACATGGCATTTGCAACATCATGTGTAATTTATTCAAAAGTACTGAAGAAAATCACGTAATTGGAACCTTTTTATTCGTTGTTTGATTAGTCAAAACAGGTCAAGCCATTCGTTGGGCATTGTTTTTGATGGCCAATTTCATTGGGTTGCAGTAACAATTGAAATAAAATGAGTTCATGAAATCAGAAATAAGATTTTGTCACTTACAGCCGAAGCCATACGGGTGTCTTCTTGGAGTATCCCATGATAGTCAAAAAAGGGTATGACTTAGATAATAATTTCAATAACAAAGAGGAGGGTAGGTGGTGAAATATAATTAAACTTTGAGTAATATAGGATCCGATATTGTATAATGTACGTGATGGTACTAAGCCAAACCATGGCTATACCAGTTCACTGCAACATTTTAATAAACAAAACATTTGTACGCTTTCATTTAGTATGAGGTAAACCAAGATTTTCTAGTATACTTCTGCTGAATCTCCGTACTAAAATATAATTAACTTTATTACTGTCATAGATATTTTCATCGGCAGATAGTGTTATCTAGTCAACTCTCAAAGTTTATAATAATCACAAAAAGCTATTTTCTTTTTGTTAATCGGATAGTGAATTTACTACTTTGTAAATTTAGTTATAAATTTTTAAAATAAATGTTATGCCATATCAGAAATCTAACTAACCATAAAAATAAGCAGCCTAGAATTGTTAAAATTACAGCTACATGTTTAAGTTAGTAGAATTTAAAAACCTTAAATCATCCCATATTTCAGAAAACCTATTTTAAATTTAAAAAAACCGGTTTTTTGAGGTCTTAATAATCACAAAATCATTTTCATCGAGAATTTTTACATCAATCAGCGTAAAAAGCAATTTATATGATAACGTTTTTCATGTTCGATGGAACTGTGAACTCGCTTGGTAACTAAAATTTTCAAATATACCATTTAAGCTTCAATTTATCGATAAAATTTTATCTTCTCTAGGTAATGACAGTGCATGCCAAAAGTTAAACGTTATTGTAGCAACACAAGAGATTCATTTTGTCCTTATCAGTGATATACTGTCTTCCCTCACAAGCTTAAATACTTATTAGAAGCCAACGGTCGATATGCACACAAAGAAAAGTAACTGTTGATAATTAATAATGAAACTAAAATGCATGAGTGCTTTTCTAGTATCTCTTTGCTACGTGGAATAGGAAAGACAGTGAAATTTATTTTACGCTATACAAAATATAGTAACCTTTTTATTCAAAGAAATCTCATTGGTGTATTAGACTTTGATTTTATTAGGTATGTCTTTTACTTTCGTTTTGTTTAACTTTCCAGTAAAAGTAACAATAATTTTATTACCTCAACAGTAACATCCTAACACTAAATACAACATTTTCATTGTTCATCCCATCTTTGAAATGAAGACAGCACATTATGTACTATTCTAGATTCAGCAAAATACAAACATTACTTAAATAAGTAAAACATTGATGGTAAATAAAAGCTAGTAGCATTTATTCCATTGTAGGTAAGATTTTTCCAACATACAAAATACTTAAATACCGACTACAAATACGAAATTAATAACACAGAGCAGAAACTTGATCCAACATCCGTTGATACCGAAGTACTAAGCTCCCTTTTACTGTAAAAAAAAAAAAAAAAAAAAAATTATAATGAAACCCTACACCACTAGATTGTTAAAAAATCTAGTCTAGACCACGTGGTACTGTGATGCTACTCATATTGTGAATACCGACCGACCACTCGGATAAGACGATAGCATGCATGATGCGATTTCAATGAGCTTTGTACACCATTTTTTTCTAACAATTTACCATTTTATTTCCAAATCTACGTAAAGAGCAAGTCCGGCAAAATTACTCAAATAATAAATGGCTACGTATTTAATGTAAAATTAACTTCATACAGGGGAACTAACCTGAAACTGTTTTAATAACCACTGTATTTTAATAACCACTGTATTAACGATAAAAGTACTATAATGTAACAGTTGATAATGTACAAGTAATTAATAGTGAAAAAATAGCAAAAAGTCCTTGGAATTTGCAATAATACTAGTTCATCATTTAGCACTGTTATACTTATAATTTTTCTTCTTTGTGCAGTCTTTAGCTTTGTGATAAAATAATTCTTTTTTTAATAGGGTAGAAAAAAACTTAAATTACGTATTTACTGATTTTTATTTTTAAATAATAAGATCTTATAAACTAAATTCTTAATACACTGTGAAAAACAACTTTAATAGTCAGCTACGGCTACATTCAAAAAAATCAAGTAGATAAAGTATTTGCCGTAGCGGTATGCTTATAAAAATACTAAATCTAAGTACACTAATTCTAGAGAAAGAAGCAGTAACATTTCTAATGGTAAAATAGTTATACAGCACAATATTTGGGATAACAAAAAACTATCTAGATTGTACTTAAATTATGTGACAGTACAGCAGGGTATGATGTATGAAAACAATATTAATTAATTTTATAAACAAACCGCTTTCTTGAAAATGATTTTACTATCGCACATTTACAAGGGAACATTTTATTATTCAATCACACTGATCTTCTCATCAGCAAACTGTTTTTGAAGTGGTACCAGTACAGTTTATAATTCTAGTATTCTCATAATTACATAGTTTAGTCAATTTATTAAGAGTTAAAAGTAAATGGAGTAAATTACATGTTTAGTCATTTCAGATGGGTTTGTTTACAATCGAAATCGATGAGATTTTCTATATCATAAAATTAGATAGAATAAAAAAAATTCAATAGAAAATTACAGAGCCGTATTTTCTTGATCTTCCTGTTTTTCTTTTTGCTTAATTTTCTTTGAGCCACAATTTAATTCATTTTGGATCTCGAGTAAAGACTTCCCTGTAGTTTCAGGTACCACCAGTGCAATGAATACCATACCTACACAACAAGTTAACGCGTACACTATAAATGACATATAAATGCCACAGTAATCGGATATGACTTGATGCATTTTAGATACAATGAAGGCGAGAAGCGATGTCCACAAATTAACCAAAGACACGGCAACACCCTTGATGTTTGTAGGGAAAAGTTCTCCTAGCATCAAGTATGGCAGAGGGCTTAGGCCTAACGCGACTATCAGCTCGTAACCGATGATGGCAGCGACAAGAACGTTACCATATTTTTTTACATCGTAATTGAGATTACTTTGTAAAAAATAAAATCCTGCACTGATGCTAAGCGCAACTCCAGCCAAAAAAGTCGTTAACAAAAGCAACGGACGTCTGCCTACTCGATCTACTAATGCCACCGCGACAATACCAGCTATGAGCTGCAATACACTAAGAATGATCACTGTTGTTCCAGCCGACATATTGGATCCACTTCCTTCAAGAATCTCTTGTGTATAAGATTCTATTGCTGCAATACCACTTAGCTGTAATACCACCTGCAGTCCAAAGCATATCAGAACCGCACGTCTATTTCCTCTGGTACTAAACATATCCCAAAAGTGTCCTTTGTTCTTCAGATTGAAAGCTACTGTTTTTTCCATCTGATCCATATCATTTTTCAGATCTTCTTTGCAAGTGTAGCGGTTCAGCCATTGCAAGCTTTTTTCAACTTCCTCTCGTCTGTTGCGAATTATAAGATAGTAGGGAGACTCTGGCATCCATATGAATGTAACGAAAAAAATGATTGGCAAAACAATGCAGCTGTAGGCCAACACTTCGTAACTAAAAAATGGTCCAATAGCGTGAGCGTAAAGCTCACCAAATGTGACCATAAGTTTGATAAAAGATCCCAGAGATCCTCGAATTTTCTCATCCGCTATCTCACCGAGGTACATGGGACCGACCACGTAGACAATACCCTGACCTAATCCACTGATGAAGCGCGAAACGTAAAGAACGTACGGATTCCGAGCAAAGATAATTAAAATCCAACCTATGGTCATCGGTATCCCGGATATCAGTAAGCTGATCTTGCGTCCCACTGAGTCCACAATAAAACTAGCAAGAAAATTACCAGGAATAGAGCCAAGTATGTACAAAGAAGCAACCCATGATGCTTGATTTGACGTTACAGTTAAAGTAGAATTTGGCTCTTTTAAACGAGGAAGTATTGGAGATGTCCAGCCTATGTGTGATCCTGTTACTGCCATTGATAATGTTGCTAAAATTTTATTATATAAGTTTAGCTGTACACTTACTATGAATTTTTTCGATTAATATATGTTTTTTGCTTTTTACCGATTATCGCAGCTAAGTATTGCGGCCATTGCTTTTTATTTGAGTGATTCTCCATGATCTTAATTAACTTGAAAAAAAAAATCACACAGATTTTAATATAAAAATTTTCTGTACTAATTACACTTGTTCTAACCAAAAAAAATTTTCAACTAGTTATACGTGAACTTTTTGTTCTTCAGAAGTCTGCACTATAATGTAAAATTTTGATAATATGTAATGCTTTCTTAATGTTCTTACAATTCACTATACTCCTTGAGAATAATGTTGGAGGGGGGAACGGCGCTGATTGTCACGTGGTATCGACGGCGGCTGTTTAAACTATATTTTACGCTATAAGATTATACATAGAGAGTGTGAGGGTAGCATAGTTTCGTATGGAGTAGGGAGGATATAAACTATGATAACTGAAGTGTCTGAGAGTCACTGATTGACTCCACCATTTTCGGGGCTAAGTGAAATAATGACGAGAGCCAATTAAGCAGCTACGTGAACATATGTAGGCGTGTCGATCTGTGTTTCCTTCTCTACCGCGTCTACTATCTATGCAGTCCAGAAAATGGCGTCTTCGGCCACATTCCCCTTCATAGACCCTCTCTAGTTTGGAGCAAATGATAAATACGACTATTTCAAGTTATCAGAGACAAGAATCATTTAAATTGTTTTCTTATCACAAAGCTTTATTTCTTATTTCTTATTTCTTTTTTCCAGTACATTATTGATTCCAAAGGTACAGTCTTTATCAGCTATCCTTATTTGATTTTTAAATTCGAAAATTAAACTAAAAGCTGAAGCTCTATCTAAATAGTGGTGATACAATGTTACATGAACAATAAAATAATGTGCACTAATAATAATAAAAGGGGGCTCTTGCTGCTAAATTAAAAAAAATATGTTATGAGTTAACCTTGTAAAAATTTGTGTACCAAAGGGGATGTGTAATACGCTACACTGCAGCACGTATTTCGGCCTGTTTTTTTACATAATTGTTTGTAATTATATAAAAGTATGCACGAAAAATTAAGGATCTTAAAGCGTCAATTTTTTTAGAATTGCGCAAGCTTCAATACCGTTGTTTGTACAAGAATATCCCTTAAAATATTTTTGTTTGTTTTAAGAAAATGTAAATGTTTTAGCATTTATGCTATCTGGTTAGGAATTTTCTCAGATATAATAGCCACACATTAAACTGTGATAATTTAACGCAGCAGTTAACTTAGTTAATAATGGTATCCGGTTTCGTAACCGTTTTCTTTCCCAGTTTTTGATACTTTTAGGCAAATATTACATTCATTGAGAATTAACTTTATATAAATTATTGTTATTATAAAACTATTACTTTATAAAAAAAACTTTTATTATAAAACTATTACTGTATAAATAACTGTTGTTGTAAAAAACTATTTTATAGTTACAGAGAAACGTAATCGTTATAACAGTAATTAAAAAAAAAAAAGAGAGAATAAAAACGAATATGAGAAAAAAACGCTTGACATATTCAAGAAAAAGTTTATTTTCCGCCCTCGGGTGGTTTTGGGAGGCTGTTACTTCCTCGGGCGAAAAAGCAGTTTTCCGATACTCGTTCGAAAAGTCTCCTTTACGAACCTCGTTACGGACCTCGCCTTCGGCTCGGGCCGCAAACGTCTCGGTTCGCAAACAGAGACTCTTCAAACTCGTAGGAAAACTACCATTAATTTACAAAATGTCACCGTGAAATAGACGGAACTCTTTTAAAAGTTTTAAGGACTCATTTCGGTCGAGGAAAACAAAAGTGATATCCCAAAGCAATCTAATGCTTTACTTCTATCTTGAGTCTTGATTTGCTTGGAGCCGTTTTCCGATGAAGTAGTATACATGTATAGTAAGCCCAGCAAGAGAATTTAGGGGATCATTGATAGATTGGAGCAAAACCAGAAAAATCGATGAGTATATTATGTACGTGCACATTCTCGAAGTGTTTTTCAGCATCTTGAAAAGTTCGAGTTGATGAAATATTATGACATTACCAATTGCCAATTCGTTAGCTATCTATTAATAATACAACTTATTGGTTAACGAATATTTGTTTATTGTCACTCTAACATCTCGAATTGTTGTTGATGTATGATCCATTTACCTTGACTGATTCTGTCTATCAATGTATGTGACTTAAATATTTTCGGAAACATCGAGTTTCCTACTACACACTTTATCGTAGTTATATAGTATAATGAAACTGGTGATTTTAAAGAGCAGAGGTACGAAATACCTCTTTGGTGAAAAACGTTGGATTTCCAAAGTCATAAGCAATAAGCACCTGCAGAGAGTAAAAAAACCATACACTTGGCGATAGACGGATCTAATTATATCTGTACGTGGCTAACTTATATTTGAAGTTAAACTGTAGTGAGTAGTACACTCGAGCGTACATTGCATGTACATAATTATAAGTGTACATACAATATTGGTGTACAATCTTTGAAGCTGAAGTGGTTCATCACCACTGAATATACGAGTGCCATTCTCTTTGGACTCCCAACAGTGGCTACCAGCTACTACTCGCAGCCACAACTTCAACGTGGCCAACATTTTTAAGGCGCTCACCTTTTTCTCTTATGTCTCTGATGCTGGCGTTTATCATTGCTATACTTTTTTTAATTAACTTTAAATACTTTTTGATATAAATACTTTTTTCACGGTAAAAGCGTTTAAAGAAACATTCATCCGCAAAGGTACACGAGTTCTTATTCTCGCATCTAGTTTTTATTTACTAGTGAAAATATGTTATTTTTCTCGCACTTTTCCGCTTGCGTGTGTTCATTTACGTAAAAATACAGTTAGTAAGTTAGCTCGCAGAATTTTCTCTACTAACTCTTCAAAAGAGGGTGCAAACACAGGATGAAATTAACCTTCTTAAATACTCCAAGAAATTCCAAGGCATACATTGATAAATTTTAAAAATAATCACAACTACAAATGGTACAATAAAAACGAGTTTTGTAAAATAGCTCTAAATTGATGAGCAAAAATATTTTCCCGTCGTGCCCATCATTCGACGTAAAAAAAGGTAATCACACGCGCAACTAAAAGTCTCACGTTACAAAAATTGATTTACAGAGACGTTCAATCGCACTTGCTGTCACCAGTATGGTAGTAAATCAACTTCAATCGCCACCCGCGTCGAGACGCAAAAGCTCAGCTTGCAATGTGGTATGATATATAAACTTCACGTGGTCTGGCGTTAAGCACGCATTAACATCGACAGGTAATCGAATACATCACCCCACGCGCGTGGAGCAACACCACGTGTCACGCCCTTTTTTTCTTCTTCTTCTTCTTCTTCTTCTTCAGCAACATCATCTCAACCTTATCCTTGATCTCGAGTGAAGTTGTGATCCAGGCCTTTTTTTTTACGCCTTGTAAAATTGCATCGCAAACCGGTCCGACCGATCTTCATGTTCAAATTCGGAATTAAAATACCAGTTGGAGTTCGGTTTTGGGCTGAAGATATCGGACCTGAGCAGCAATTGCAGATAACGGACCTTTGGAAATCTCCTCGCAAAGCCCGGAATCTTTATCGCTCCAACGCAGACAAAGGAAAGAAAATCAGAAAAGGTAATTAAGGCAAAAAAGAGAAGAGTAGGAAAGTAGAAGGGAAAAAAAATCGAGTTTCAGATTGCAAAAAGTTCCCATCCCCGTGGATTAAGCTAATCGATATACTTCCTCCTGGTCTCTCGGTGCAGCTCTTCTCTTTGGTGCTCTATTGTCCTCCATTAGCACCTCCATACATGCTTGGCTGAAAAAAAAAGACTGGGAAGGAAAAAATTTCTGTAAAACTCGCGTGTAGCGGAGTAGCGGTGTTATAAAAGGAGAAGGAAAAAATGTAGGTACGTCATTTGCATAAGAGCGCAGCCGATTTCTTTGCAAATGCCGGTCGCCGTAAAAAGTGAGGGAGGAGAAAGAGAACGAGGAAGGGGAGAGGAGGTTCATAAAAGCAGAGAGTGGATGGTGATGGTGGTGGTAGCCGGGGCCATTAAGGTGCGATTATAAAATGCTGTGGGCTGAAAGAGCGAAATGATCAGGCGATCGGCTGAATTAGCGAGATGCGGACAGGATTAGCATTTGGGCGACACTGAAAATTGATGTACCTTGGTGTAGTCACGGTTATTGGCATTTTTTAATATATTTTTCAATACTTAGTTCATATAATTTATCTCTGTAATGCTATGCAATATTTAAAATTGAAGTGCAGTTGAGAAAAAAAAAATTGTTGAATTTTTTTGGTTTTATTCCGACATTAGTTCACTTATTTTAATTTTATTCTTAAAAATATACTACATACACTTAAAGAGTTGTGGGTAATGTACTGTACTTTTTTTTGTTTAATTTGTATTTACTTTATTTCGTAAAACACTATGTTCACAAAATTTTATTCCACCACATGGATTAAAAGCCAAGATCAAGACTTTTCATGGAAATAATTGTATTTTTTTTCCTGAACCAATCATTTTAAAAAATTGACTACATGATGTTACCTGTAAAATTGCCCTAATACTGTGTAAAAGAAGACTATCACCCATTGTGAAAAAAAAAATAAAGAAAAAACCACGAGCTCTGAAAATCCAAAAAATCTCACGATCCAAAAACCTGGAAGGCAATCGCACTGGCTCCGCAGTGCCGAAACGGAATTCCAAAAACACGAGAAATTAGAATGCACCACGCGTGCCACGCTACCAGCACCAGAGTGCTGCTTTGCTCGCACACGAGCACATGATGGTATTGCGGGCTACAGCAGCAAGCAGTCGGTGCCATAGCGTCCCTCTTACATAAATTACTTCGAAAACTATCGATCTACACCCCCCTTCCTTACATGTATGGTAACACCACCGTCTCGAAATTCTTTTCGAGCGCTACTCCTCTTCTCACTTCAACGAAGAAAAAAAAAGAGGAAAGAAAGCAAAAAAATCCAGCTGGATCCGTGTCACCTCTTTGAAATAAAAATTCGGAAAAAAAGTAAGCTAGTGGTACGCGCACCAATCCAGAGGAGTACGAGAAAATGATAAATAAAAGTCACACGCG